TTTGAGAATATTTTGTCAAAATTTAAAAGTTTAATTGTGATATTATTTTTTTTTTGTTAATAAGACTAATAGCATTAAAATTAAAAGATTAAAAACATACTTTATAACATTAAATAATTAAAATAAAATAAAATAAAAGGATTAAAAGATAACTTTTATCTTATCATTATTATTATTAAAATACAAAATTACATTACCCATCAACTCAAATTGATGTACTCTCTCTATTTAAAATATATATATATTTTTTTATTAAATTTTACCTTTCAATAAAGTAGTTACATATTTTTTAACTAACTCTATTTTTCTATATTTATTCTTACAAAACACCGATAATAAATATAAATTCATTAATCAATAAGGATACTTTTAAAAAAGAGCAATTATTACACTTCAAAAGATTAAAAATACTTTATATTTTTAAACATCCAACTCCTAAAAAATAGGCCTTATATTTTTGGACGAATAAAGTAAGTAATACTCCCTCCATTAAAAAATATAAGACATTTTTTAAGGAGTTGGATGTTAAAAAATATAAGACATTTTTAATCTTTTAAGATATAATTATTGCCTTTTTTCTAAAAGTTCTCCTATTGATAATGACTTTATATTTATTGTATGGTATTTAATATGGGTAAATATGAAAAAATAATGTTAGTTAAAAAGTAGGCAGCTATTTTATTGAGAGATAAAATTCAGTTAAAAATGTTTTATATTTTTGAATGAAAGGAGTAGACATTTTTGTTTGTTAAACATATAATTGGGATTTGATTCACAACACTCTTGTGTATTTTGTCTACTATCAATGGTGGATGATACTTATGCCTGATCTAGAAAAAATTATATCATTCAAAACTCATAATTAAATCATATTATTTTTTTAATATTACGTAAATAGAAAGAACTCACTTCAATTAATTATTATATATAAATCAAAAGCAATAATGTGCGTGATCATGCAGGCAAGTAGAGGCTATAGATTATAGAACATGGATATGTTGGAAAAGAACGTGATGGGAAAGAAATAGTTGTTGAGTGAAAATTGAAAATGCAAGAAAATAGTTCGAATTGATGGATAGGTTGGGACCCACATGTGGGGAAAAAAAAAAAAAAATCTCAGGAGGATTGAATATTAATTAATGGGAAAAGCTAGATCATGTGAATTAGGGTCCCTCTCGCATTCTAAAATGACAAGGACAACTAAAAGCAACCCACAAGACGAACAACAATGCTTCAGCCCGGCGTGATTATAGGAGAGTCCAATATACTAAGAAAAAAAAAAACATCTACCATCCTAGTTTGGAATCTATGACCAAAAACAAGAAAACAAAAAAGAAAATCTATCATCCTAGTTTTCAATCTATGACCCTACCGTTTTGTTTTTGAAAGAATTACGTTAAAACTTTCCATAAAAAAAATTAATTATTATAAAATTTATTGATAACTGAATTAAATTATATTAATAATACAATCAATTATCAATGTAATTTAATTTAATTATTAATGAATCTTATAATAATTAATTTTTTTATATGAAATTTTATTATAAGTCTCTCAATGTTTTTCTCACCCTGATATTAGCGTATTGCTTCTTAGAAATTATTCCATGGCTATGATATAACACGCCACCTGTATTATGTCTGATGAAAACATGTTATGTTATCCTAATTTATTTAAATAAAATTTTATGGATTATTATTTTTAATAACTTTTATTTTTGGAAGGAAGTTGGTACCTCTTTAATTTTTTATCTTTTATCTTTCTCTATCATTATTAATGGTATAATCAATATATATTTACACATATCTAATATGAAATGCTTTTATTAGACAAAAAGTGGATGATATGGTGCACCAAATTTATGTAATAATTTTTCATTACTCATTCCTAACTATAATATAGTTTATTTTTTAGAAACCCAGCTTGATTCAAAATATAAAATATTAGGTAGTTTTTATAATTATTTTTTCAACTATACCTTTACTTCATATTACTCTTTTTGAAAAAATATGATACATTAAAATTGCAATTGTCATAATTAAGATATTTATATAAGATATTTAATAAGAGTATAATTAAAAATATATAAATTTTTTTAAGAGATTAATGTTTCTCCTAATTTTTTAGACTCATAAGGTAGTTACTGATACTATTGTAGTTACAATAAGTGGAATATATTTACCTTCCATGTTAATTCATTGATTTAGATATATGGAGAATATTAATCTGGATTAGGAACAATTTTCCCTTACTTGGTTGACCTCATTGCAAAATCCAAAGTTTGTATCCATATTAATTTACTGGCAATTTGATATTAATAATTGGAATCAAAATAAACAATATAATTTTCTGATAATTATTTAACATTTTAAATAAATACCATAAAATCAAAACAAGTACTTTGTTTTAAGCAATTATTCTCATTTTTTTAAAAAAATAAAGTTACCCTACGGCCATCTCGTGCTGGCGTAAGTGATGGAAAATTTTATCCCATAATCAAGTAATTAGGGCTTTGATTTCCATCCTTTGTATTAATTAAAGTGAGTTAACATTTTCTTAAAATTCATTTCACAAATATTCATAGTTAATTAGCTCTAAATATGAGTGCTCCATGTATTTAAGAGGATGGTTTGAACTTTTTTTCACTACACGCACCATATTCTATTCTTATTACTTAAACCAATCATGTACGGCTAACATGACCATTTCATAGCGTACATGGATTATTCATATTGAATTTGAATAGTTCATTTTTTTAATCTAATTATCTGAGATTAAAGACCTGCTATTTTTTTTTGGGTACAAAAACATTTAGGCAAATTGAATTTCAGGAGTTTATCACTAAGGCCAAGACATGTCTCTGGAGTCCAGACTTGAAATGCTTACATAGGTACCTAGAAATCTTCTATCAATAAGGTCTTTAAATTGATAGTGGAAATTGATCTCACAATTTTATAAATTATAGGTCAAATTTTTATCAACTAAACTAACTTTTGTTGGCAAAGGCATAGTATTTAAATTATCATAATGCCTTATACTAAAATCAGCGCCTATTGGTGGAGATTTCATATGTACTTTTATTTTTATTTATTAAATGATTCTTAATTTTAATAGATGCATGATATGAAATAAATAATTAAAGATAATGCTATAAATGTCAATTTTAAAAATAAAATAAATTTATTTTTCAAAAAAATATGGATTTTAAAAACTGAAATTTCGACAGCCCAAATTGCATTTGAAGGAATCAGATCTCATCATAGTTGATAAATATGTGATGCTCAATTCCATGACCCTACCATGCAAGAAAGGCGCTTGTGGGAACAAAAAGTGATAAAGGGGCTGTGATGGGCCCAAGTGGCCACTTGGGGGATTACAGAACAAAATGGTCCCATCCTGACACACTTGTAACAGAATCAGCCCAAACACTGGTACTCTCTTTCTGACCCAATTGAACAAACTAGCGCGGTTCCCACAAAATTTAATGAATGAAAGATAGGTTTTTTTTTTTTTTTTCCTTTGATTTTTTTTATTTTACTTTTTACTTTATTTAAAAATATAATTTTAAATTTTTACACTTTACATAAATTTTACTATTGATCTTTACACTTCTTTTCATTATTTTAAATTTCTATACTTTCATTTTTGATATTTTAAATTTTTTCATAAGCGATATTATAAGGATCTAAAATACTGAAAATTAAAAGTTTAAGAATTTAAAACACTGAAAAAAGATACATTGATTAATAGCAAAGCTTGAGTAAAATACAGGAATTAAAAGTTATATTTTTTTATTTAAAAAAACAATAAAATGGTAATGACCAATTCAATTTTCAATATTTTGGTTCAAATACTTCTTGGAATATTGGAAGAACGACCATAAAGCCCCAAAAAGAAGAATTAATGACAATTAGACTCTAATAAAAAAAAATTTCAAAATAAATTGTAAATATTAATTTTTACAATTATAAATAAAAATTCCAATTGCAGTTTATATAAAAAAAGTCCCAATCACAAGTTATATTTAGAATTTAAATATCTTTTTAATCTAACTCAATATTTGCAATATAAAAACCTAAAATATTAAAAAATAAAAGTGTAGAGATTTAGAACATTGAAAAAAAATGCATGAATTTATAACAAAACTTGAGTAAAGCATAAGAATTAAAGTTATTTTTCCTTATCATGAAGACATAACTTACATTGACTTTTTTGTTTTTTGTTTTTTTGAATCTAACTATCATTCTCCCCAAAACATTTCCTAGAGGGTCAAAAATCTCATTTCTAACCATTCTTGATAATTAAACAGCACCTAACCGTACAACATGTTGTCTACATTGTTAAGCCAACCCTTTGAGTTCCTAAGGAAGAATGATATGAAGTTTTAGCAAATTTTTAGATATGAGTAAGGCACAAGGCCAAATAAAAACACAACAGCTAATCATCAGGGTCATCACAGAAAAATCATAACTTAATAATTCAACAGGACTGTATAGTTTGTTTTTGTATTCATATCATGCACCATACAAGTATGTTAGCACTTGTATATCAAAAGCACTGGACCTTTTCAACTGGGCATTTTGCCATCTTATCATCCACAAGCAGCAATTCAATCATGTTAAGAATAAATTTAGTACTTCCAAGCTTAATCCCACTCTGGGTAAGATTCTTTAATTAAGAATTACATCTAAATTCTAATCATTGAAATTCCAGATGGAAGTTAGAGAAAAAGTTCTTGATAATACAATCAACTCAAAGAAGAATAAAATACTTGCAAGTGTAATTCAATCATCTGCACATGTTCCAGCCAGAAAAACAGAACTGAACTCAAAAAATCTTCAATAGTATAATTTATTTCTCTCCAATTCTACAGCTGGGAACAACTCTATTATTTTCCTTGTAGATTGAGGATAGTGTCAAAGAGAACATATATAGTCAATTATAATTGCACTAATAGGATTGATCGGAATCTGGGTAAACTTTACACTGAAGAATTATACTAATTTTATAAATAAATAAATATATGAATTGTAGTGAGAACACGAGAATCCCATTACAATCTAATGAATGAAATACATCCTATTACCTATAAGCATTTGAATGGAGAGAGCTTAATTACAGTGCATTCTTTAAACACAGCCTAAGATTTCACAGTTGAGACTGGTGCTTAGGAAGCCATAGGTCAGACCTTAAGAGCGTTGATATGGTGGAGAAAAAAAGATCCACCTGCTACTTGGCGTAGATTCATGTTGTTATCTTCATAATTCTAGGCATCAATGTGCTTCTTCGCCGCTAGCAAAAGCACCTTTCAGAATTTGCCAACACATCATGTGCCAGGCATGTTATTGCCTGTGCTAGAAAGTATTATGAAGGCACAAACAACTGAAAGTGAGAAGACTGAAATCCAGGCGTTCTCTGTGTACATTTCCATTGCATCAGTGAAGGAAAACCGGGCTCGGTTTTCAGCCCAGTTACGAAGACGATCTGCCTCAGCTGCATACAATGCTCTACCCTGAAACACACAGGATTTTAGAAATTCATGGACTTTCATTTAATTATCTTAGACTTTTGAACAGTCTATCAATCAATTATTAGACTAAGTAAAAAAGATAATGCAGTTTAAGCAAACAAGCTTTGAGCATTATGATCAGTGGGACTCACCTGATCATCAAACCAGCGACCTCTTCGTAACCATGCGGTAACCAAAGCAAGTAAGATTCTGGGAGGGGTCAAGTAATTGATGGCTTTACCCGTTCCCTTGACGACTCGCATCCGTGAGACTAAACTTCGAGCAACGGTTTCAGGAAGCTCACAGATGATGTTGAACATTTGCTTATTTTGTACTGTTGAGCCACTGTACACAAGCCATAAAATGGCCTTAACAAGCAATAATCACATCCTTATCATAATACTACTTTTTCAACTCAAGCAAGTTCCTAATTTTTCAGGAAAGAGGGAGTTTCTGCTCCCTGATAGGTATAGCTTGAGGGGGAAATGATTGGAACTTTTAAAACTAAAAAATTTAGGATCATGACAAGATCAAAAAACAGGAAAAGATTCATATTTCATCATGAAGATGTACCTTAAAAGAAGATCCGTAAGAACCATGCCTGGAGATGCCGTGTGGACTCCTACTTTGGATCGCTTGCATTCCTTCAAAAGTGATCCTTGAAGCTGCCGAAGGCCACATTTTGTAGAACCATATCTAGATATCAAAAGGGTTGGGGGGGGGGGAGTATTATAAGCACCATTAGTAAAAATCATTATTTTTGAAGAACATGCATTTCATGAGTAAATGAAGTAATAAAAAATGACTTCACAATATGACTACTCACACAGCTGTAAGGGGTGTCCTGGAACCTCCAGAGCCTGCGCCATCCATGTTAAATATGTGACCTCCCTTTTCCTGGTTTCTCATAATACGCATAGCTTCTCGAGTGCAAATTATTGATCCAACCAGATTTGTTGAGACAATCTAGAAGCAACCAGAAACAAACAAAAGTTAATATTAAACACATCAAATATTTGTTTAACAAAACAGACAAGAAACTGCTCACTAATATATACCTGTTTGATATCTTCATCACTGAATTGAAGCAATGGCCTAAATCCTTTATTTGTGCCAGCATTGTTTATCTGTTTCAGAGTTTGAATAGAAGGAAAAAGTAAGATATGAGAAGCAGAAACATCGTAAGGGGCACTCCACATGGTACATTGAAGGTACATGGAATGCTGTGACATTCTGACATCTTAATCAAGAGGGAAAATCCTAGTTGTCAGAAAAGAGATGACAAAATTGTTGGTACAGAAAATAGACATCAACCTTCCCTTTTAAGACATATCAACATCTTATCATGTGAATGTTACATCCCGTACCTTAAATATCAATCATAGACACTAAGTTGTAAAACTTATACTAAAAATGAAAGGAAAAAAAATTAGTTCTAATAGTTCATAGAATGAACTAATCCAACACAGATTGCCATGTGAATAAAGATAACACGATCAAGTGTTGCAGATTCCAGGACTGTATGCAATCAGCTTTAACTTGTAGCCATATCCAGAATTGCATCCATACTTACCCAAATGTCAACATGGCCAAACTCATTGACTGTGAAATCAGCCAATCTCTGCACATCATCAGGCTCACAAACATCACAAGCTATGCCTACCACTTTTGCATGAGAAAGCTTTGTTAGAGATGAGCCAACTGCATTGGCAATTCCCTCTTTCAGGTTTTCCTCGAGCTCTTTGATAGTTGCTTGCACAGACTCAGGACTGCCTTCACAAAAATTTGAGATTAGAAAAGGTTATATGAATAAAATGTAGATGAAAGGCATAAAATACTTTGCATTCCATTCTCTATTGAGCCAAATAGTTATCATAATCCATAAGACCACCTGCGAGAGGTAACAACCACGCGGTCTCCAGAAAGAAGGAATTCTCGAGCCAAAGCCTTACCCAATCCTCTTGTACTGCACAAACCAATTCATTTATAAGATTTGAAAAACCATATTATGAGAAACATAAGTGCATAACTTTTGAAATCCTCAAAATAACTAGAGTTGAAACAAAACATGGAAATGGAACAAGACAGTCATAGGATCAAAAATGCAAAGGTGAAGAGACTCATGGTAGAGATGAAAGAGTCATCAGAGAAAGCTACCTCCCAGTGATAACAACATTACGTGGACCAGCACGACAATGTTCCTCCAATACCATGTTAGCACCTATCATTGTTCCAATGATAATTCCTCCAAGCCAGCTATACCATATCAGAGCATCTAACTGACTGTCTCCACCTTCATAAAATTTTCATTTAATTTAACGTGGAAATGCATATAGGAATAGATAGATTTCAATTTTCAATTCCCATTTGTTTTGGCAAAGGGTCTAATAAATACATATATCCTGAACCCTTAATTCGCACATAGTCTAGGGTGAGATGCACTGGTTTATAGCTCATAAATTGTGCAGCTTCCTATAAATTTTATACTATAGATAAATATGCAGAGAAATACACACACATACGTACCTACATAATACTTACATATACTAATATATGTGAGATAAACATATACATATGTAAACTAACCTGACATCTGAAATCCAATGGCAAGAATGACCCCAGTGCTCATCATAGTCACAATATATCTTCCAATTTGAACAGCAATCTAGTTTTCGGCAATAGAAGAAACGAAAGTAAAAAAGAAAGTACTTTAATTAAATGTAAAATAACTTCCCCCAAACATAAAAAAGGAGTAAACTAGGGGGCTTACGTAGTAAAACTGCTTAGATTTAGTGGCTTTCTACTACGAGTGCAAGAGTTCACTTTGGAAAACAACAAACTCTGTAAGCATATATTTTAATACTTTTTCAAGTGACTTAACTTATGAAATGCCAACGAAATAAAGTTGTAACTATGTTACTATTAATTTCAGACTAAATTGAGGGTTCATTCGTGTCACAACTCAAACTAAAGTTGACCTGAATCAAAAGGGGGGAAAAACAAACACAAGTTATTAGAATATTAGTTTAATCTAGACAAAAATAGCAAAGACTTACAGAGGATAGCACCTCCTCCACCTTGGCCACAGCTAGCCGATACTCATCGTCTGATTTTGAGCCAACCTTGAAAGTATTCGACAATATAAAATTCACAGAACTCCAAAACCCATATTCTCTTTTCAATTTCACCACATCTTTCTTCAAATTCCGGCGCTTTTTCTCCTTCAAATCTCCTCCATCCTCAGTCCTAAACGCTTTGCACGGTCTTAGAGAAGCCCCGTCATGGCAAGAACCCCGCCTGAGCGACGACGTTCTACGGTGGTTACTGAAACAGAGATTGCTAAAGCTCTCTGGGGTCAGGCGTAGCTTTACGAGCGTGGTCATGGCTGTTAAAGACGAAATTCGAAAGCAAAAGCATAAACGAAATTCATGGGAAATTAGTGTAGAAGAAGAGGATGCATATATAACGTCGTCATTCTGAAAAAGTTTTGTAATTTTGTGATGGGAAGTAAAATATCAAGGAGCGTGGACCGATTTGCGAGAGATGCAGTAACGTGGCGATGAAGAGAGAAAATCGTGATGACCACACGTTAAAGCAACCCAATCTTTGCAGGATGAATGACACGTGGCGATGTGGGTCTGTGTTCTGTTCTCCCACTTTCTTGCCTTCCCCCCTTGTTTGAGCATTTGTTAGGCACACGACTCGTTTGGATTTAGATTTAATCCTCATCTAATTTCAATAATGTTTTTGTTTGGCAGACGACTGGTTTGGGATTGTTATTAATTTAATCTTCATCTAATTTCATTTATTTGGTATTGGGACCACTTTTAAGCCAAAAAAAAAAAAGATCCACATCTTATTTTGCATTGAATGTTTGAAATAAATCACATTGTTTATATTTTAGGAGAAAAGGGCAAAAATATTTAAAAAATAATCAATTAAAAACATTAATAATATAAAATGAGATAAAATGAACAAGTGGGTATGGAGTTATTTTTTAATACATCTGTAACTAAATTGTTAAATTTCACATTCAAAACTTAGCAATTAACACAGTTGAGTTTTTATATAGTTAAATTCGACTCTAATATTTAGACTTTCAAGCTAACTTAAATGTCTAAATTTTTAAATATTATTTTATTTTATTTAACCTATTTCAATTTTTATTCCAAAAGAAATTAAATTTCTTAATTTTTATCTTATTTTATTATTAATAATAATAATTCAAGCATTCAACAAAGCCTATTTGAATTTATATTGTCTTGGATTTAAAAATTTGTAAACTTTCAAACCCAACTATAATATTTTTCGAATTTATTTAGGTTAGATTGAATTACTAGTTTTAACATGTGATTCATTATCCTCCAGTTTTATATGTTTGGGCCAAACATTATCGTCCTAAGTTTGGTGGTGATGATACTCCAAGAACCTTAAATCATATCTTGGATCATCTGATGCACCTTTGCTATAGTCATTTGGTTTGGTGTTCTTTCTTCACATGTGGACAACATAAATATCCAGGATATAGATATTTCTCAATGGCTCCACGAATCGTTGCTCTTATCTTCTTCGGACAGTTGAATTATTAAAAAAACATCCTTTTTACTGCTCATTGCATTTGGTCCAAGTGAAACGAAGCTGTTCGCACCTTGGCTCCTTCATCTCTCTGCCGTGGACAGTCAAAATATGACTTCGCTTGTTTAGATTTTCCCCCCTCATTTTTTATTTTTAAAATTATTTTTTAAAACAAAACAAAACGATTGGTAGTGACAATTACTGTTAGTTAATGATAATGAATTATGATAGTGGTTGATAATAATTAAAAATATAATTTATAATAATCAAATGTAACGTGTTTTAAAAATAAAAATGAAAATGAAAACAGCTTTAACTTGTTTCTATTTTTTTATTTTTAAAAATAAAAATTAAGAAAATTTTAAAAATATTAAAATTTGAAATACTTATGTCAACAAATAATTTTTTTTATTTAGAGTTTCTCACAGTGTAATCGTGATATATCTATTGTATCACATCATTCAAAAGATTGCAAGTATAAAGATGAAGTAAAAATGCTCCAAAAATTGAAAAAAAGAATGAAGATTTGGAAATTTGAATAGATCAAGCTGGACTTCAGACTTAAATAGATATATTTATTTATCTTTGGCTAAATACTCATGTTTGCCTATCAAAGAGCTTTGACATTTTCCTTCGCCTATGTCTTCTCTCCTTGCACCATGACAGATCAAATTTCATTACCCTTTGCACATGTCAGCTTCTCTTCTCCTTCTGCCTCTCAACAGATTAGAGACTCCTATTTTTTTCCGTTCCAATTCATGTTCCTTATGTAAGAGCTGTTAGATATTCCTGTGACAGTGGAGAGTGGAGACCTTGCTTCTCTCACAGATCAAGTTCCGCTACTGCAAAATTGTTAATATAGGACATCTCATATAAGATAATTATACTCACAATTGTCTTATGTAAGGAGGCAAATTTATAGCCAATGGAACGTTAGAACACATATAGGATAGTTTGTCAAAGAATTGACCTATATGTAAGGACGGTTCTCTTAGAAACCGTCCTATATGTGTTTCTAGAAATTAAAAAATATTTTCTTTAAAAAAAATATTAATAGATAGAGGACGGTTTTAAGTGTGAACTGTCCTCTATGTTCTTATATTATAGAATAGTTATTTTAATGAGTCTGCTATTAAATTCTTAACCCCTAATTTCAATTTTCAAATAGAGTTGTAGAACCTAGAAACCTCTCACATGCTCATCTTTCTCCAGCACTCAAAATCCCACAAGCTCAGAATCTTTGCTCCATTACTCAATTAAATCCCAAAACCAAAATCCCATTACTCCATGCACTACATCAAAGCTCAGAATCTCAAAATGTCTGCTCAATCTTCAAGCTTCATCATCATCAGCTCCTCTCTCTCCCTATGTAATTTCGCCAAGCGTTCATCAGACTCTCCTAGGTTTCTTTTGGTCTTTAGTTTCTCTAATTGTATGGACGACTTCTAATGATTCTTCTATTGGTTTCATTTTTATGTTTGATTTATGATATTTTCTACCTTCTAATTTCTTCCATTGTTTCTAATTTTAATTCCTAATTTTTTTGCCCTTCAGCCCTTTATGATTTTAATCATTTCTACTTATTTAAAAATTAAAGTGTTTGTATTTTTGTATGAGGAGATTTGTTATTTGTTCATTTAATTGTTGGAATTTTGCTGTCAAATTTAAATTCAATGGTTAAATGCATGGTTGTATTGAATTGTTGAATGAGCAATTATATGGTTACATTGTGAGGCTTTGGAAAGACTTAACTAGGTTTAATTTTGGAATTGAATCTTGGTTAGGCACCTATTAGCAAGGGTATGAGATTGGCTTTTTATTTTTGTAAGTAATAAATTATCACATTACTTCATGCACTTTCTAATTTCTAGTTCTAGTGGTTCTAAAGCAACAATTATTGGTGTGGGGAAAATTGATTTGAAGTGATACAATTTTGGTAACCAACTTGAGCCCTCTTTCATGAAAAAGCTAAAAATCAAATCTACAAGATGCCAAAAAGATAGAAATTGCTCTTGAGATGCACGTGGACTCTAAAGTCCTTGAAGGCAAGTCAAATAACTTGGAGCTATTAAGCTTACTTGGCACTAGTTCTTTGATCTTGCTCCTTTTTTTTTTTTTTTGATTATGGATGATATTTTTGTTGTTGTTGCTTTATTATTGTTATTGTTGATGGTGATTAAGATTGGGTTGAAATTACATTGCACATGGATGAATTTAAGCATAAAGAGAGGGCCAAATTCCAAGAAAAGTCTCAATTTTAAGCTATTATGCTGCCAAATTTTTGTTTTGTTAGTACCCTTAAATGAAAATTCATATTAGATGTTTTTGAGAGTGGCTTATGAGTAATGCATTGTTGTATTGGCAGCTAATTTGTTTATTATCTTGCATTTATGATAATTGAGCTACTATTCATCATATCTCTTTTAACAATTTGTGATAGATCGGGATGATTATGGATAAAGAATGGATGTATATAGATCGACGATTGAGGGAATATTTAGAGAGGGTAAGCCACTTTATTAAGGTTGGTATATAAGGAAGACATTGAGAGCATTGTATTGAAGAGATGGCCAATGCAGTTGAAGCAAAACTCAATGATTATCCTCAAATACTTGAAAGGTTGAGAAGTGATGTAGGAAGGGCATTGTACACTAGTGCTAAGGAACACAGTCAAAGTTAATCACAATGTTGAAATTATACTAGTTGAAAGTGGAAGGTGGGTGGAGTGCTATGAGCATCATAAGCTAGTTTATATCATTGATCCTATTTTATCGAGTTGATCAATTGTGTTATTATCAAATAAAGAATTTGGAGAGGTCATCAATCCGTCAAATACTACAATTGAGGATGATCCATTTGAAGGAATGACACTTGAATGTTATGTCATCGAAAATGACACCAATTATATTAGAAATGTTCACAAAGATGATATTCAAATTTTAAAAATGGAAAAAAGAATAAAAGACAAGATTAAGAAATTAAACCAAGCTGCTAAGTTTAAAAAGGTTTAGAAGGAGACAAGGAAAAGAAAAAGACTAACTTAAACATGTATTGGTTATTTATGCTATTTGTGTTTCAATTAGTTAATTTTATTTTGTGACTTGTATGTTTTAGTTATTTGTGTTTCAATCAATTAATATTGTATGTGACTTGTGTGACAGGTAAATGACTCTAAAAATAACTCTAAAGAGACATAAAGTTTCTTTTGCTACCACTAATCTTATTGACCCCACTCTTACTACCACTGCTTTAGTTGACACAGCTCTCACTGCCATAACTCTTATTGGCATGAAGCACATTGACCTGTTGAATAATCGTCACAATGTCACTTCCAATCCTAACAATGAGGGTGTAACAACTAGGAAAATTAATCATAATTAGTTAACTTAATTAGTGTGATTAGTGAGTTAATGAGGTGTATGGCTAGAAGGGCCTAATTGATGTAATTTATTATAATTTTAGCCTTAGAGATGGGTCCAGATGATGTCGGCTACTAGGGTATGGAAAGAGGAAGAAAAAAAAATGAAGGAATACCCTTTGTGCCACATGTGGCGACATGTGGTCAATTAACCATGACATATAAAGGTAGATTTAAATGCATCAGTCTCTTTATGCCATGTGCCATGCAGAACGCAGTGTGCGCTGTGATGTATGGTCAAAAATTTGATTTATCATATGCAATTCTGCATGTGAAAAAACAGAGAAGAGGAAGGAGAAAACCTGAAGAACATGGTTGAGCTTTGCTAGGGCACGAACATTATAACCCTTGAGGATAGATTGAAGCTTTCCAACACCTAAAGTAAGCAATTTATACCCTCTTCTTCCTCTCTCCCTTATTTATGAAGGTTTAAGTTAGGGCTTAAGTTGGAATATTGATTTTTAGTTCATGGGAGTTATGAATCTAATCCTATTGATTAAAATGGATATAATGAGAGTTTTTTAGGGTAGTAGAAC